GCTGCGTTCCACTCACGCCGTAGTTGCTTCATTTCCTGCGGTTCCAAGGTAAGAGTCCCGTCCAGCGATTCGGCAAGGTGTCTGGCAATCGTTTCCGCATCGTTTTTCGTAGCCTGGGCCATCTTGCTGTCTTTTGTGCATTCGCTGTTTTTCATGTCTCTGTAAACGTACATGGGTATCTGCTGCGCTGTGCCGCAGCGTTCCGCATACCGTCTTCACTCTCTGATGTGGGCCGTCGGAGGCAAGCGGCTGTTTATGAAGAGACCGCTGTGCGTTCGCATGCGGACGCATCAAGCGGCATCATGGGACGCAGCCTCCCATGGTAGGCCAGTACTGGGCGCACTTCAATCCGATAGAATGGCTTGTGTGGTGGTGGCATGCCCAAAGGCAGACATCTGTCCATAGCACAAGTCAATGGATCCATAAGCCGCCATTGTTGTATCGCCAAAACGGTCCCTCATGTTTTGTGCATGGCCACTGTCGCTGCGCTGGTGCTTATGGGCTGATCTGGCCGAGCGCAGATGGCTCGCCAATGCCCAAAATATGCCGCGGCCACGCACACTCGACTCCGAAACCTGCTGTCGCTGCATTGGCCCGCCATCGACAGGCAAGCGTGTGCCGTCTACACCGACAGCATCGTGCATTTAATCAACATCTTCTGCCCTCTGTGTCATGTAACGAAACCGGCACCAACTGAGGAGCAGAAGCACAAGCAATGGGAGAGCGAACGCACTATGGCGGTGCATCCGAAGCATGCCTTGTTACAGCTAGTATAGGTAGCGACACCGGTGAGTACGTTCTACCACCCGACGCCCGTGCAGTGGCTCACTGAGCAGCAGACGACGACTCGAGCAGTGCACAAAGTAGCAGCACGGATAGCATGTCCGACGTAGTAGTAGCGGGCTTGCGGGGCGATGAGAGAGACGATAGCGAGGCCGATAGCGACGGCGGGAGTCAGCATGAGGAGGACTCCATGGATGATGATGAATCGAGAAGCGTGGACAGCGACAGCACGGGGAGTCTCGCCGACTTCATCGCGCCCGATTGGGAAATGGAAAGCGGCGATGAGGGTGAGGCCGCGGAGGACGACGACTACGAGAATGAAAGCACGGACGAGAACGAGGAAGCAGGCGACGGAGACAGTGGCGGAGACAGTGGCGGAGACAGTGGCGGAGACAGTGGCGGAGACGGTGACGGAGGCGACGACAGACCCAAACGCGCCTACTTACCCAATTGCGACGCAATGGCCCGTCTCGAGATGATTGCATACAACCTTCGGCGACTCGCACGTGAGTCCGAGGCCGAGACAAGCCAACGCGCCGCACTGCACCATGACCGGTCGTGCTACTGCAGACGCCGTGGAAGGCGAACGACCCGGGTGCCCCCGCCGCTCCGACGCGCCAGTGGGCCGCTAGTGGCGCCGCATCTCAACGCGGAGTCCGACACGTCGCCACTTTCGCCCGACCGGAGGCAGGGACGCCGCCACGCGAGAAATCGCCCTATTGAAGCGATTGCAGGGTCAATTCGCAGCGACAGATCTATTACTACATACCCAACAGGATTACGTGAGGGACCATATGTGCATCTAAATGGGTGGTGATTTGGGGGTATGCAGGGACATGCAGGACATGCAGGACATGCAGGGCACGCTGGACATGTAGCAGTAATAGATGTCTGTTGGACTGTACCTTTGTTCAACGTTGGTGGCGTTGTCAGCGAGCTGGACCAGAGCAGGAGACATCACCGTGGCGGAAGGCGGACGTGCACAACATAGGAACATAGAAGACTCATCAAGATCTCATTTTATGAATATATCATCTGATAAATTCATATATTCTGTCGGATTGAGCACCTATTCGTGAGGTTCGGACTGTCTGTTGTAGGGTAGCTGCCCGCTACGCACCCTAGGCATCCGTAACTCGTACCAAACCAAAAATATGGGTGACGCGGGTTTTTAACATAATAATTTTAGTGGGGAGTATTTTGGCTGCCTAGAGATGCAGAAATAGTGGGTCTGATTTACCCCGCCAGGTAACTAAAATTAACTAAAAGCGCTAGCGACACCCGTAACGGTTTTTACGGCAAGCCGTGAGGGCCAACGGCGAACTATAGATAATTTTGGCAAACTCTTGTTTTCTCTTCTTCGATGTTCCGTGCGCAGTTAGGGCCTCTTTCTAATGCAAGCCTTCTTTCACGTCGGAAAGTGCTCTTCGGCCTGCTCGGCGTTTTGCCACGCAGACAATGGCAACTGCGCCGTCTAGGCAGCACTTGCGCTGGGGAGGTGGGTGGCAAGTGGGACTGACAGTACTCACCCAGGAAAGAGAAGGACAAGCGGGTAAACCGTGAAAAACAAAGGAGGGCGGACCGCACTACTTGTCTCCACCGTAGGCAGGCTACTGGGTGGTTCAATATTGGACGAGTAGGAAGCCGCGGGCCAGGTTGATCATCGGTGGATGGGATCTGCGCGTCATGGAACAGAGCAAGGAAAGTCGGACAGAGCAAGGCAACAGACAAGCCAAAAGCCGCCATCATCCGACGAAGGGAGACAGCAGGGTCGTAAGAAGACAGTGGACGGCGAGGAGAGCAAGCGTAAAGGTGCAGCAATGGTGGCGAGAAAAGTAGAAAAACAGATTCACCAGTACAACAAAGGACGAGCGAGAGCCGCCAGCGCAGGGCGAATTGGTGGCGCCCCGAACCACTTGAACAGAAATCTTGCCAAAATGATCTAGCTCATCTGAGCCTTTTCGCGTGGCCCGCTGGACTCAGGTTGTTAGGCAGGAAGTGGCTTGCCCGCTAGGAAACGGAGGGCCGGAACGACGACCGGAAAGGAGGGTCGGCCCCCGCTGGGCAGCTAGCACGTTAAAAATAGCTGCGGAGTCATAGACCAGAGCCAAGACAAAATAAGGCAACCGAAAAACAGGCAAAACGCTACACACTTGTGAGACATAGGAGAGCCAGAAGGCCGCTTGCCGGCAACCAGCGGGTCAAGAAGTTGTTGGTGGGAAAACCGCCCAGTAACGGTGAAATACACAAAAAAAAAAATGGACAATTGGACAAGCGGACAAGCGGCCCAAGTGGACAAGCGGCCAAGCGGCCAAGCGGAAAGTGACCATCAGTCAGGCACGACGAGCCATGCATGGCC